CCCTCCCGCGCCCCGATAACCCCCATTTGCGGCTCTGGGTGCGGGAGATAATTCGAATGCATCGTGTGTGGGAGGAGATCCCTGCGCTTGTCTTTGGTGCCTTGTAGAAGTGCTTAGGGAGGGAGGGAGGGAGGCAGGCTGTCTGTGCTTCTTTTCTAAATGCAGAACTGCTAGAAAGGCTCATTTGTTTTTAAAAGAGGAAAAAGTCCTTTAGAAACCAGGCAGCACCAGGATCTGCCCGCCAGAGACCTGCGTGGGGGAAGCCACGACTGCCATGCTGCAGGGCCCCGGACGGTCTGTGCGCAGAGCAGAGCACGATGCCTTTCCTGCACGGCTTCCGCAGGATCATCTTCGAGTACCAGCCCCTGGTAGACGAGATCTTGGGGTTGCTGGCGATACAGGATGTGGAACAGCAGAGCACCCTTGAGAGGTAAATAGATGGGGCCCTGAGCAGAGCTCTGAGACTAAACACCCACTGGAGTTTGAGGGGGTGGTAGCTGGAGCTCAGTGATGTAGCTGAGGTCAGGCACAGCACTGGCTGGGAGCAAACCCCAGTCCTGGTGAGCAGCACGTCCCACAGACCCTCCTCCTGCTGCTTTTCTTTGGGAACGTGGGGGTGGAGTAGAGCAAACACAGGGACTGCACATGCTCCCCAGGAGCAGCCCTTTCTGCCTGACCCATGGCAATGATACTGGGGTTCAGCTGTGACCCTGATGCTGCTGCTGCTGCATAATCCCACAGCCAACAGGTTAGAGACCAAGTAGTTACAAGACAAGAGGAAACATCGAGGCTTTTTTTTCTTTTCTGGTGCTACTTTGACCCCAAGATGTGTGCTGTTCGGCTGAGTAACTGGGTGTTTCCATGTGTTTCAAGCCCTGCCTGTCGGGGCAGCGACAGGAACCAGCTCTCGGCTGTGAGACGAGTCTTGGAGAGGGAAACCCACTCCCCATTTTATCAGGAAGGTGTGAGCTATGCCCTGCTGAAGGTCACCGAGCTGGGGCTTGTCCCTGCCGCAGAAATCCTCCTGGAGTTTGGCGCTGACCTCAGCTTTGAAGGTAAGGCTGGTGGGAAGGGGGCTGGGCCTGGCCAGGAGGAACCCACTGGTGAGAAGCTGCCCTGGGAGGTGTTGATAGCTGGGGCAGAAAGAGGGGGTGCTGCCAGCTGAGACCCCCACTCCTTGCTGGGATAGCATGGATGTGCCTTATGGCAGCCCTTGTCCAGACCCAGGCACAAGGATGAACTGGGGGATGGCCGGGGGCTTGGGGGCCAGTTTGCAGCTCTGAGGGCGTTTGCCAGAGGTGGAGCCATGACAAAAGCAGGACCTGGGGTGTCGGTGACAGCCCTGTTGTCACCGGTATCGCTGTGTTCTCCCCAGCTGCCCCCTTCCACTTTTGGTGGGTATCAGGGCCGTTCTGGGGAAGCCCATAATTCTCTCTGACTCTGTACTTTTGTCCTCAGATCCAGTCACCTACTACACCCCCCTGCACATCGCAGTGCTCCGCAACCAGCCGGATATGGTGGAGCTCCTGGTGCACCACGGGGCCGACATCAACCGGAGAGACCGGGTATGGGCTTGGCTACCGAGACACGGCCGAGCTGATCCCCTTTGAGACTTATCTGCACGGGGTGGGTGTGTGGAGACAGCCCTCCCTGCTCCCCACTCGTGAGCCTTGCTGCACTCCCCTTCCCCTTGGTGAGCTCTCGTGCCCGTTGCCTGTAGTGCTCTGATGCTGTGGCAGAAGTTCAAGTTGCCTTTGTCCGAGCAAACGTGCCTCTGCAGTGGGAGAGGCTGGGACAGACAAACCTCTCCCTGTGCACACTCCAGGGAAGGTTCATTTTGATTTTGGGGGATGGGCTCAAATATACTCTTATGCTGGCCATGATGAAGCCCCAGCAGCAGCTCTCTGCAGTCACTTAAACAGTCTTTAATACTTACTAGTGTTTTTTCCCCTTGCTCTGTGCAGATCCATGAGAGCAGTCCCCTCGACCTGGCCAGCGAGGAGCCCGAGCGCTTGCCGTGCCTCCAGCGGCTGCTCCAGCTGGGAGCTGACGTCAACGCCGCCGACAAAAACGGTCCGTGTGCCCCATCCAGCTCCCCCAGCCCCGATGCTTCCAGCAGCAGCCCTCGTGGGTGGGCTAGAGCAGGGCACAGGGTCTGGCTCTTTCCATCTTGCTCCAGTTACAAACTGGTTTGGAGGTTGGGTGCAGGCTGCAGAACCCACCTGGTGCTCTGTGCTTTCTTCTTGTACCTTCGCTTTGCCAGGTGCAGAAGGGGGCTGAAACCAGCTCTGTGAGGTCCATAGGAGACGTGTTGGGGCTGTCCCCTCACAGCCTTGGGTGCTTACGTGCTCTAAAACCCTCTCTGCTAGGGCACGTGTGTCCTGTGGGGACACCACCAGCCCTGCACCTGTGGCCTGTCACCCTGTTCCCACAGCTGTGCGACATCCCAGGGACAGCAGGAGCCTCTCAGAAGGGGAAGGGCTGTTTGTCCCCATGTTTGGCTGTCTGCTTGCTGGGGTGGATTGTTTTCCTTCCTGCCTTTTGGGGTGTCACCCTGTTTTCACCTGACTGACCAATTGCTCCCTTGCAGGAAAGACAGCGCTGTTGCACGCCCTGGCCAGCAGCGATGGTGTCCAGATCCACAACACCGAGAGCATCCGTCTCCTGTTGGAAGGAGGTGAGGGCAACCTTCTCCCCTCTCCATGCACAGTCCTTCCAGGCCTAGTGCTGGCTGATTCTTTGTACAGGTCTCTACCCTCCTCTCAACTCTTCTGTGTTCCCACTTGAGCAAGAGTAAAGCCCAGCAGTTCCAGAGTTAGTGCTGTCCTGGCCTCGCTGTCTGCAGTGCCAGTTACATTCTCTGTCCCTTCCTCCAGGTGCAGATGTCAGAGCTGCCACCAAAGATGGTGACACTGTCTTCACCTACGTCATCTTCCTGCTGGGAGAGATGGTGTGCAGCAACACTGAGGAGGCACAGGTGATCAGTCACTTCTGCTTTCGTGTCACACAGCTGCTGCTCGCCCACGGTGCCAACCCCAGCGAGTGCCCAGCTCCTGAGTCCCTCACCCACCTCTGCTTCAAAAGCTTCAAGCGCCACTTCCCACTGCTGCGTTTCTTGCTGGAGTCAGGTGCTGCCTACAACTGCTCCCTCCATGGTCCCTCGTGCTGGTCAGGCTTCCACATTGTCTTTGAGTGCCTCTGCTCACACCTCAGCGTCTCTGAAGATGACAGCTTCTCTACAGACCTCATTCAGAAGGGTCAGACTCTGCTGGAGCTTATGATGGCCAGTTCGCAAGCCATCCAGCTGCCCAGTAACTTTGAGGTCAACACCAGCAGCTGTAGGTACCATGGGGAGAAGATCAGGACTCTCTTCTGCTCTCTGAAGCAGCTGGAGCGCTCCCCGCAGGCACTGAAACATCTCTGCAGGGTTTTTATCCGTCAGCGCCTTAAACCGTGGCCAGTAGATGTCAAAATCAAGGCTCTACCTCTCCCAGACAGGCTGAAGTGGTACCTCCTCATTGACCATGCTGCTGCCGGGCATGAGGACCTCTGAGCCTGACTAATGCCTCTCATCTCCCCCCTGCATGGCCATCGTGTGCCTACAGCCACCAAATCTCTGCTCTGGGCCAGTTTTCTCTGCAGCAAGAGGTGCTGCTGTCCATGTGCCCACGGCTTGGCCCACGCTGTCCCTCTCTGCTGCATTTTCAGGAGAAGCTTTTTTGGGTGTGACTCTACACACGCATCTGTGGAGGCCTTGCCACTCTGGGGCATGTTGTGGGGAGGTGGGCAGAGCCCCGTGACTCCCTGAGGGTGGAGAGAGCCCCTGGGCCTCGGGGTGCTGGACATGGGGCAGAGGCTGGTTTGTGTGGATTTTAAGAGAAGGCCTGGTGGGCAGAACCAGTGGGGTGGTTTGGTGGTGTGACTGAACAGCCTGTCCCCTCTCTTTCCAGCAGTGCTGGGTCCAGGAGGGGTGGAGCAGTGCTGGGTCCAGGGGGGTGGAGCAGTGCTTTAGGTGAGCGGCAGAGTCGAGATGCCTGGAGGTGCTGCGAGGTGTTCCCTGTGTCAGGAGAGCGCTGGCATCCGTGTCCTGGTGTCCTGCCTCCAGTCCTGGTGGTGGGAGCAGCTGTGGTGGAGGCAGGTTCAGCATCTCCATGTGGCTGCCTTCCTCACTTGCCTGGGCTTCTGAAACCAGGAGCGTGGTGGGGCTGAGGGAAGCGGAGCTGGGAGCAGTAGCCGGCTGCTCCACACCCTCTGAGTTTCTCCTGGGAGCGCCCCATCCTCCTGGCACAGAGGACCATCCACCAAGGACACCTCAGAGGTGGTGGGCTCCACAACAAACAGCCAAATGGATGTTTCTCAGCTTTGTGGTGCATTCCCTGGGTAAGGATGAGGAACAGGCAGCTAACTGCTGAGTGCCTTGTGCTTCCCTCCCCGTTCCTTGGCTCTCTCCCTTGTTGACTGCTCCCAGGACCATGGTGCCTCTTTCCCAGGAATAAAAAGTTGTAGTAGAACTTGGGCTTTTCTTTCTAAGCTGCTACTGGAAGCTTCAAACTCTGGGGCTGCACGTGGGGGTCCTGTGTCCCAGCCGTGGCATCGGCTGCCTTGTGATGTGCCAAAGACTGGCCGCAGTGCTGAGCAACCCCACGTTTTTGTTGTTTGTTTGTCACGGGGGACGGGTGCAAAAGATGAAAAGAGTAAAAATCTCCTCTGAGCAGGTTCACTTCACAGCAGGGGGGACCTGGGATCCACAGGCAGTTTGGCTGCAGAAGGCTTGTCTCCCCCTGTTGCCCTCCCAGCAGCATCTTTTACCTTATCCCACCCTGTGGAACTGGAGCTGTGTATCTTGAATTGGTGTTTAAAAAATATATATAATAATGTGATCAAATACACTCCCCCAACATCTGGAATGGGAAATGAGCAATTAAACAAGGCCTTCTGGGATCCTGGCAAGGGGCTTGTTTCTTCTGCAGGAGAAATGGGGTGGAGGAGAGGACTTTGTGGGGATGGGGAGAATCATGTGGAGGGATGGGCTGCAAGTGGGGTGCTCTCACCCACCTAGCAAGCTGTGGTGCCAGCGCTGGCTGCCTAGTGTGGCATTAGGTGTGTGCCTTGTGTGGCATTTTGGCCAGACTTGACCAAAATGAAGTGGACGTGGCCAAGGAGGAGCTGGGCGTGTTCAGAGCCGGGTGATGGTGTTGGGGGAGCAGCTGTAGTGTCACAGCGTTCGAGCGGGAGGTGCTGGGTGTCACCGTGAGCCTGTGGTAACGGGATGGGGGGTCCAGGGGCAGCTCAGAGAGGGTTCCCCATGAACACCCAGAGCAAATCCTTGCTCAAAGGGCTGCAGGGCTTTGTCTGGGGTGTCCCTATCCCTGGAGGAGGATGTGGGGGACCCAGGATTACATCCACCTCCCTTTTGCTGCATGTGTGGGAGACCTGCTCATGGGTTCAAAGGAGAGGCCACAACAACGCCCCAGAACCTGGTGTTGCTTCTCCAACCCGCTGCAGGGACATGGCAGAGATCTCTCCCATTTTCTTACCCAGCTTGTTGCTGGGAGCAGCAGCAAGTTCAAGAGCAGGAAAGGGTCAAACAGCCAAGGAAGGAAGGGAGCCCAGACCCTCACAGGGGGCTCTGAGCTCCTGTTCCCTGACAGGAGCCCTGTGTGGCTGCGGTCAGCAACCTGCTGGTGCCCAGTGAGCGGGCCTCTGGCCGAGGAGACCCTCCCAATCCCCAAGAGAGCCCCCAAAGGTGCCATCAAGCCAATGCTGTGTCCAACAAAGCCCACGTGCAGGAGTGCAACAGCAGGAAAATGTATTTGGCAAACACTTCTTTTCACAAACAGCAGCAACTTGGAAGACAAAACCCCGTCCTCACCACCAGCCCTGGAGAGAGGGATTTGTGACACCCTCGCTGCTGTTCACCACCCTGTGCCCAAGGCACGGTCCTCACCCCTCCCAGCCCTGGCAGGAACCACCGTGCTGGCTCATGATCCGAGCTGGCCACGGAGAGACCTTCTGCCACCACCGGCTGTTCTCATCTCATGGCAAAGGTGTAGACATGGTAGATCTCATCAGGGAAGTTCTCCTGGCGCTCCTCAGCCAGGAGGTGAAGCCCAGCCCGGCGGATGATCTTACGGACCACATCCAAGTCCCGGCAGACGCTGCTGTCCACATCGTCCATGATCACGCCCTCCTGAGCCATGTTGTCCTTGATGACCACGATGCCGTTGGGCCGCAGGCCGGCACGGCACCGCTTCAGGAAGTCGGAGAGGTGGTTGTCAGTGAGGTGTCCTGGAGGGATAGAGCCAGGATTAGAGGACATGGGGGGGGACTATGGCAGGATGTGATACGAGGGGAGGAGACCACGAGCCTGCAATAGGGATCCCTCCTGATCCACACAACCAAATACTTGATCCATTCGCAGGTGAAAGCTTTAGCCTGGTGTTGTCCAACCCAACTCCATCCAACCCACACCTCTGCCCTTGGCCTCTGAGGGCTGGGGGGAAAAGACCCCACAGTGCAAAGCCCTTGTAGTGCCCACAGAGGGCAGGTCCCCAACCCACCCTCCCACTCACGCTGTGATGCACATCCTCACGCAGATCTCAAGCTCTCCTGCCCAAAGCTCTCCCCAGCACATGGAGCACCTGCCCCTCAGGGGAAGCTGGACAGAAGACAGGCTAGTGAGACCCCCACAAGCCCAGCGACCCTCACCGATGACCCACTGGATCCAGATGACATCGTAGGAGTTGGGCTCTGGGCTGAAGTCCTGGAGGCCGCAGCAGAAGTAGTTGCGCACCCGCCTGCCCTCCTCTCCCAGGTAGCTCTTGGCCTTGGTGAGGAAGTCCTCTGTCACATCCACCATGTCCACCGTCTTGAAGAGGGGCAGCAGCAGCCTCTTGGTGATCCGGCCAATGCCCGCCCCGCAATCCAGAGCACGGGTTGTCCCCGTCCGGTTGGGACCATCCTGGAACAACAACCATCAGGGGCTGAATCCCACTGCGAGGTACCCACAGAGGAGACGTGGGTCAGCCATGCAGGATGGGGCTGGGGTGTGGGGGACCCGTTGCAGAGCAAAGCTCTCCCAACACACAGGTGACGGAAGATCCCATGGAGCAACCTGGAGGGAAGAGCCCAGCTCCGTGCTGGGAGTAGGATGGGGCTTTGGGAGCATGACAGACTGGGCCACCTACCCGCAGAAATCTCTGCAGGAACTTCCTGGAGCTGTTGATGTCAATGCTGGAGATGTGGCCGTAGCCCCCCAGCATGCCGTCCACCGTGGCAGGCACATCCTTCCAGTACTTCTCTGCCTTGGAGTAAAACTCAAACTCGTTCTCCACCACTTCGCTCGTCATGCTGGCCGGGGGGCACGCGCCCCTGCAGGACCTGCTGCTCCTCCCAGACAGAGGAGAAAGCACCGGTCAGGTCCAGAAGAGCGCAGGGGAAAAGCCCCCCCGAACTGGGGAGGCAGGCATCAGCTCTGTCAGTACCCTCATTTCTATTTATCACCCCTTCTCCCTCCCCTAAAAACCTTCAGCTGAGAGCAAGAAGGAACAAAGATCTAAATCCTGATATTTTCTGGAGACCAACAAGCCCCAAACCCTTCCAGGGCAGGGATGCCACAGCCAGACCAGGCATCCCAGAGTCTTGCTCAGCAATATACCCAATTATACTCTTATTTTTTAAGGCTGACCTGCCCTTTTCACCTATCCTGCCTCTTCTTTCCCTGCTTTAACCTTTTACAGATTACACGTTCATCTGTGGTGACAGCCCCGTCAGTCACCTCCAATTACATCTGGAGTTGCTAAAAGTTATCCTAAGCACCTACCTGAGGATTGTAAATCTCGGCCGTGACCGTAAGTTAGATATTTGCAATATAATAAAGTCAAGGTATAATCAGCAATACAAGCTATAAATCCCCCCCCAGACATCTCATAATTCAAACCGCTGTGGATTTGATTAACTGTGCCAGGGATTAGAAACTAGATTTAAGGTGGCCAAAGGGTAAATTCAAGGACTTCAAACACCTTTACAAATAAAGAAATATATAGTGTTCGTGGCTTGAATTTGCTGGCAAATATCCCATTAGACACAAAACCTTTTCTACAGCAGCTTAGGCAGTTTTGGTGGCTCTGCGTGGTCTTCAGGAGCCCGGGGAGGGAGCAGGAGGACACAGTGTCTCACCTTACAGATCACCGGTTGAAATCCAGTTTGGCTCAGTGATGCCCAGAGCTGGTCTGCGCTGTGATCTACGGGAAGCAAAGACAGGATTTTAGTCCCAAATCACCCCTTTAATCCTGCAAGTGTGAACAAGGCTGACTGCAGCTCCTGGGAGCCGGAGGTAAGAGCTGCCCTGACCCCACACGCACCTTCCCGGGGTGGTTGGGGGGCAGGAGCTGGTGCTGCCCCATAGCTCAGAGGCAGCAGGAGGCTGAGCCGCGGG